TTGAAAATCTAGCATTAATTGTGGTTTAGTGATAAATAAAGCAAAACTTGGAGAAAGCATCTGGTGGCATACAACTCCGACATGTCAATCCTATTCCTTAAATTTAAGTTCAATAATAGACTTTTCGTATACATTCGTGATCAGAACTTGATGTTCTATCATTTGAAATGATAACCAATCGATTGCATGAAAAAAGTTTTTTGTTGAAATTTTTCCCGTACTTCCCCTCACGGGGTCGAAATTCTTTTTTCGAAAGAACTATACAGTTGATTACCTCCAGAATGAAATTTTAATTCCTCTGAGATGAAAATTTTCATATATGAATGACTTGTAAAATTGCCCTGGATTATTTTCCTCCACAAAATTCACACAGTTGCAAGACGTTTTAGGCAAAGTATAAGCTTTTTAATGATTTAGTAGAAAATTGAAAATTATTTTATTTTCGACTATTTAATTTGAGGTGCAGATGTTCTCTTCATGAACGCCCACACCCACACACAAATTCGAAGGACATTGTTCAAATGACACTCGATCACAATCATCTGCATACTATAGTGAACTGTAAGAAAATATCGAACTATTAGAAGTATCAGAAGTCTGATTTACATATGTTTACAATTTTCGGACTGCTCGTTACGTATTTTTTTGATTACTTATGATTTTGATTTTTTTTTGTTTAAAACTTACCAACGGTTATTAGTGTGATTTTTTCTCGATATGAAAAATTTGATAAGTACAAGAACAATACCAATCTTTTGTCAATACATATCATCGGAAAGAATTTCATACACAACAAGCTTCTCAAGAGATAGATACAACTGTAGCAAAAGAAATCAATCAAACTGCTATTTTTTGTTTCGAATACATAGTAGTCATCAACTCAAGTGGATAGTGATTGCTGTTAATAAGGAAAGACTCCATGAAACTATGCAGGACGATTTCTTGTTTTGATTTATTTGACAGAATACATGTTCACATTTACGTAGGATCGAAACAGACAACAACGAATTAACTATTTGACAAAGAATACTTTCGTGAATCATCTCATATGTTACGGAGAAACATCAGTGACTGCTTGATTCATTCTTTTTGGTTTCTATTTCTATTTCCTTTATAAAAGGATTTTTTTTAACGAAACATTAAATATTTTAACGAAATCTTAGAAAAGCTTTTATACAGGAGAGGCAAGTACACAAGAAAGAAAGAACAAGAAGGAAAGAGGAAATGAAGATATCAGGGAGAAAATGTAGTGTCGGTGTGGGATGTAAAGATAAGACAAATCCACGCCCACCGCAAAGCGCAGTCGAGTAGGATGTAGGTGTTAGTGACTGAAGAAGATCAAACCCCACACTCACAGCAAAACAAAAATTGAAGATGCGTATGCCTGTGTTTCATGTTTGCAGATTAAATCTGAGCGATACTTGGAGAAGCACTCAAAAGATGCAGAATGCGTATATGACAGTTATAGTCGAAATATAAATAGAATAAATGTATTTCAAGTAATGAATCAGCTAATAATGCTGTCTGTCAGAATGAATATACGATATAAAATAAGAAGAAAGCATAAAAAAATATACGAGAACAATTTTGAATGAATGAAAAGCAGAAAAAAAAGAGAGCGACAAAGAATATTCCTTAGAAAAGGCATCACCACATTCAAACAATGAAAATATGTAGAAAATGTTATTCAATATATTTGTACATTTCATCAATTTGCTTTTCAAAATATTTCGTTAATTCAGGTCGTTTTGATTTCATCGTGGGTGTTAAAAGATTATTTTCAATTGAAAATTGTTCAGAATGAAGATAAATATTTTTTGCCTAATAAAAACAAAACAAACTTTTATTTTCTGTAAGGCCTTGTAAAAGATTAATATACCATTTCAAAACCTTTCAATTGATTTGACTTTTCCAATTCTTTTGATATCATTGAAAATTAAATCTTTAATTTCTTGTTTCTTACATAATTCTTTCATATTGCCTGAAATGTTGTGTTCACTTGCATATTTTAAGAGTACATCAGAATCGGGAACAATAATAACTATTGTACGACTCTATAGAAAAACAAAAAATATATCGATTAAATAATAAAATAAATACTATTTTACTTTATAACTGTTACCATAAACAAATGCTTGAGCTACATATTTACTCTGAACATAAATAATTTCAATACGTTCTGGTGCTATATATTCACCCTAAAATATCAAAGACAAATAAAATAAATTTATCTTATATCAACAGGATATTCCAAAAGTCTCTTTACACTAGAAAAACTTGGATCTTTTTCACATATTTTGACCAAATGGATTGATTTATTGACCATTGATAAAGAAATATTCATAGCTCATACTTATAAGAAAAACGTTGAAAAATACTGCTTTGGAGTAGAGGATGTCCTAAGAATCACATTGCATGTTAAAGATTTATTTTTCAATACATGTGTATGTTACTCATTTCGTTATCATAGCACGACTAATCACTTCTGAAAATGTTCAACGTATCGTCCATTCACTTATGTCTCCATCCATGTTGCAACGTTACAGCGTTCCACTACAGTCAATTTCTTTGCTATTAGCTTTCTACTGAATAACAACACGATAGAATGAATGAATGAGAGCATGAGCATGTATAAACAATAGAGAGAAAATGATGTCATGTACAATAGTTCGAAGAAAGGGGAAGGATCTATATGACACAAAGAAACAGATACAAAAAATGTATAAGATGGAAGGTAGAATGACTTATGATCTTGATGACCTCATCGGTCACACTATTTCACAATAGACACAACCACACTCTGAAAACAGTAGAAAAAAAAGTTAGCGGAGAACATTAAAATAGTGTCTCTCTTATGAATATGAGCTATGAATAGTAAATCAAAAAGACTACTTCTCTTTTGTGAGCATGAGAAAAATGAAATTTAACTATAAAAACGATTAAAATTGATAGTTAATTTATAAAAATATGATCAATGAGAGAATTGTACTGAAGTTTGTTTCTAACATATGATGTATAATATAGAAATAAATGATGAAGCTATCTATCGACATCGTTATCTTTTTCATAAAAATTTTACAATTACATACTTGTGATAATTTAAACATATGTTTCTTTCGATCAATAATTTGAAGTTGGCCAGTCTATCAATTCAGAAAGGGCTTCATATCATTGTTTTCAAAAATAAATAAAAAAACAATATCTTACTTCTGTCCATTTATCAATATCTCCTGTATGTAACCATCCTTCCCTATCGATGACTTCTCGTGTTTTTTCTTCATCACGATAATAACCTTTAAATACTTTTGGACCTTTAATACATATTTCTCCAACATTATCTTTTGCAAAATATTGCATATCAGGTACATCAACTAATTTAATCATATTACAATGTGCTGGTACACCAACATGTCCAACAGATGGATCTCCAAGTAGTTGACATGTTGATAAACCACAACATTCTGTTTGTCCATAGCCTTCAATAACATGAGCTCCAGAAGCATGTCTAAGAAATTGTAGAACTGTTGGTGATAATGGTGCAGCACCAGTCCATATTAATTTAACACGCCCACCGATACTTTTTTGAACCTGTTGTATAAGTAAAGCATTCAGAGCCTTTTGATGTGCTACAGGATCTGTATTAGCATCACTTTCTTTAGCTGATAATACCGTAGTAGATAAATGCTGTTGAGATGACTGTAATTGACGAATCGTTGCTTGAATAGTATCGTACTAAAACAAAAACATTTCTTTTATAAAAAAAGAAAATGTTTACTGGTTCGCCTCTTTTGAGAGTAACATGTTTTGTTTAGCCTAATTATACTAATTTGAAAATACATTGTGTGAAAATTCTCTACCAATATATTCTTCGTCTTCAAATAATATCAATCACTAGAAAAATAATCTCTCCTAATTATTTTAAAATATTTTCAAAAGAACCTTTTTACTTTCACTCAATTATTTATCATATTATTTTTCATTTTTTGGATTCCCGTTGATTTTGTTGACAAATAACCTTGCAATATAGATTCATTATGCCTATAGTAAATGTCAAGGAACTATTTTTCATCTTAATAATCTCAAACATACTGATATTCACTTATGAATGTATCAGTTCACATTCATGTTGTTCATATTTATTAGTGTAATTCAACTACTGGAATGTCGAGAAAGCTTTTTGAATGTTTTAGAACAGTTTATACGTTGCTATTAACGCTTTCCTCTGTTCCACTCTTCAAAAATCGACACACTCCACAAGATACATTCAAATCATATGTAGTTTTCATGAGCCTATGATACAATTCTAGTCCTGTATTATGATGTTCTACCAAGATGTTCAATAAACAAAATTGAAAATGACTTCATTTTCCAAACCAAAATTTTTTATGCCTCTTGGTGCTATATAGTTAATTTTTGCTTTGCGTAGCAGAGAATGTCATTACTTCCTTTGAGAAGTCGTAAAAAAACATCAATAAAGAATCATATCGTTTATCAAAGTTTAGACTTCGCGCTATTTTTCTACGCATAGATCTTGATTTCAACAATTCTGACGAAGATTGACTTTTATTCAGAGACTTTTTCCATTGCTAAGAAACTCATAGCAATAAGTCTCATACGTTTTATTTTCATTTTTTTCTGGAAACATACACAATGAAAGCAAAACCTCCTCGTACAAGAGTGATGCTGATTTTCACAATAGAAAATCATACCTTTTCGCTCCAACGGAAATTATCAAACTACTATTGATTTCTCTGAGATGCTTTATCAGAAATCTACAAAACCTCTACTTACAACTGACATCCACAAAAAAAAGAAACAAATTAGCGCCTGTGCCTACCATTCGATTTAAAAGCCGAGGTACACTTGGCATAAGTGTCGGTTTTAAATGAGCCATATCATCAGATAGTAGACTTATATCACCTAGATAATAGCCAATTTTAAAACCATTACACAAACAATAAAGCTAAAACATATATATATATAAAACATTTTTTGTACAACTTTTTCAACTATTTACTTCAACAGCTTGTTCATATGCATGAGCCAATGGTAAATATGATATTAATGTCTCGGATTCATTCAAAATAGGTCTCTAGATATTAAAAAAAAACCAATTATGGCGATTTTTGATAATAAAAAATGATTTATACAAGTAATTCAGTTGCTGTTTGAACCACAGAAACAATATTTTTATGTGTTAACATGGCACCTTTTGGTAAACCTGTTGTACCACTTGTATAACAAATTTGAAATAGATACTTAGATTTAGGTGGCTATAAACTAAAACTCCATGAATCTATTATTATCTATTTTTCATATTCTTACATGATGAGCAACTGGTTTTAATTGGCCGATTTCCTGAATGAAACACAAAAAAAAAGAATGAATATTTATTAACAAGAATTCATTTTTCTTAATCTTACTAATAATTGTTAATATGTGAAAATTTGAATTCCTTTTCTACAAGCCTTTCTCATCACTTTCTGTTTTTTATCCTCTGGTAATCTTTTTGTTAATATGATTCGTTTTAAGGTTGGAACTCGACGAGCAAGTTTAAGTAAAGTCAGAATATTTTCAATTTTATCAACAAAAATTGTTCTTAATCCAGCTATAACAAAATAAAAACATCACTAAATAATAATAAAATATATTTCATAAATAATTTACTCTGATTCATAATATGAATCATAGCAGGTTCTCCTAGTGTATCATAAAGAGGTACATAAATCATACTATGAAAATGACATGCTAAAGCTGTAATTAGCCACTATAAAAAGAAAAATAGAAATAAAAAATCTAAAATGACCAAATGTAGTGATTATACTTCAACACTATTAACTACATAGATACCAATAAATGTATTTTGTCCATGATTTTCACCTAATCGAATAAGTGCACTACCAATATCTGTAGCCGCACGTTCAGTCTGAAACATAAGATATTTATTTGAAATGATACAAAAATTTTCAATTATTTACTTCTTCGTATGTCAGCCATACATATTCAGATTTACGATCTATACGAAAACCTAAACATCGATTGTCTCCTACAAAAGATAAATTTAAATAAAATTTCTTAATCATTCAATTTTACCATATTTTCTTGCAATATCTCTGCCAATTTTAAATCCCTCGTAAATTGTGGTGTAAACATAACCATCGATCGGAGATTTACCAGTTTTGCTAAATGGTTGTGAACCAAGTGATGCAGCAACTCGAGCTTCTGGACATCCTTGTGCCTTAAAAGAAAAAGGTATTAGAGCGATATTAAAGTAAATCATAACTAACCAAAAAAAAAGAGAACTAAAAAAAATATTCTAGAATTTCTGAAATGATGATGCATTTTTGTTGAATAAAATATATTCTTATTAATGAAAATGATTTTATAGCTAAATCTTGCTGTAGTATCAAAATCTTTGCTTTTCGATTCTACTAACCGAAGCTGAAACAGTGAGACTCTGTCGATCCATATCTTGATTGATAGCTTCTTTAGGACAATTTGATACCAGAAATTATGATNGAGTACCCCTATATACCCTATAATGACTTATGGAGGGTATCCCTATGTATCCTATAATGACTTATAGAGGGTATCCCTATATACTTCATAATGGCTTACGAAGAGTACCCCTATTTATTTGATAATGCATTGAGTTATATAGATACCCAGTCCGACTGGGTCACCCAGTCGCACTGGGTACCAGTCCGACTGGTACCCCAGTCGGACTGGGGTACCGGTCCGACTGGGTACCCAGTCCGACTGGTACCCAGTCCCCAGTTCTGCACTGGCACTGGTGCATACCTAATACTTTCAAGAACAAACGAATCTTTTTTTGAAAAAAAATTTCACACTTAAGTCTAACCTTTGATAAAACATCAGTGCAGTCAACGAAGAAGTTAATTCTGCTAAAGCTAGTTGCGATCGTCCTTCTCTCGAAGAAAAAAAAAACAATTTGATTAGGCAAATTAAAAAGCTAAGGAAAACATCAAAGAAAAATAGTTGGAATTTTGAAATAATATTATTTTATTTTGTTGATAAAAGTGTCAAAACTTGTTCTAAAGATGTTTCTATAAAGAAAAGCCAGTATATTTTGAGGATTCTTTTCAAAATATTGCTGAAAAACTCAGTTTACTTAAAAATTTTGCGGATAATAATGTTTAAAAATCAGTCAAACTAAATTCTAATATCTTTTTTTTTTAGATTTAGTTTCATCATGAATGTAAATCACGTCATACACTTCAATGCGTATCAAACAATTGAAGAATATCAAAAATTGCAGAGACAACAAAAAACTGCTCATGCAAGTGAGCTAATATATGGATAAACAGAAATATGTCTCAAAATTTTCACAAACTTCACCCTCAAAAACTAACCATGCATTTATTTCAGTTTACTGTAATAGACAGTAGATGCATAATGACAGGTGATAGATGTCAAACAGACTAGACGAACGAAGAATGAACTAAAATCAAATGAAGAAACGTGATTAGTGCATCAAAGTTGAATTAATCTTTTTCATACGAGTTCAATTTTAATGTACCAATCACATTTCTTCGTTCAATTTTAGTTCATTTTTTGTTCATCTAGTCTGTTTGGGGTCATATAAAAGGACGAGAAATGGGAATCTTTATCACATTTATTCTTTTTTTTTATCTGTCTATTTGGAAAAATGTCTATTTCACTCTGTAATGTAGGAAATTTTTTCATTTTTTTGTCAACATCTTATTTGATGGTTTTTTTTTTATAGAAAAACCATCTTGCTATTGAAATCATCAAGTTAAAATTCAAAATCGATTCGTTAAATCATCCTACATACACAATGAATCAACAACAAATTGCTACTCTTGAAGATTTGAAAAAACAAAAAGATGATATGGTTAAAGAGATTTATAATCTAATGAAACTTGATGGCGACATATAGTGCTGCTAAACATGGTCATTGACTGTTTCTTTATTTTATTTTTTATTTTTTCACGTACTGTTATTTTTCTTTGTTATTTCTCAAAAAAATTTCACCTCTATATATGAACATTGTTCACATCATATTGTGTGATTTTCTCACCAATGTTGATCGATCATCTAATTCAATTCCTCTTGGTGTAAACATATTATTTCATTAGATTGAAAACCGATTTGTTCAAGATCTTAAATACCTAAGTTATACTAATAATTAACAACTGCACTTGTTTTTGGTTCATCATGAATTTCAGATGCTATTTCAGTTAATGTACTATCAACACAAAATCTTCACCTATTTAAATGAAATGCACATCGATGAATATAAACAGTAAATGCATTTCCATCAACTTTAGAGTTAGGAGTATATTTTGATCCTTGTAATAAATAATAATCCTCATGTTCACCTAAGATCAAATCAATTATCTGAAATATTTTCTGATAATTGAATATCTGTCGCTAGATCTAAATGTGTTAATGCAATTAAAACATCATATTTTACAGTTGAAATTGACTTGAGAAACTGTTGAACAAATGGAACACGTTCAGTTTAATTAATAATACGGATATAAGATTGATTAATATCGATGGTTAATGTCGAGATTTGAAATGTTCGAATGGAAAATGCTAAAAGCCTAACTATTTCACTCACAAATAAAGCGAAGTATGTAGTCTGTAATGCGTCTCCAAAATAAAATTTACGAAGTAGTTTAAGACGTTATTAACCGTTAATGCTTTCAAATCGAATATAAATTTTGAGTAGTTATATAGCTGTGATTGAAAAAAAATTTTAAGTCAAATAGATGCAATCCTTTCGAGTTGTGAAAATCTCTAATTGCGTCAAAATTACTGTCAAGTATGATTTTGTTAAAGAATTATTTGCATATTTTGAACTTCTTTAAAAGCTTGTGTTCTTACAAATGTCTAAAACTTTCGTCAAAAACTGTGGAATCTATTGATTTTGCTTATAGCGCTGATTGCCAGTTGCTCTTGATATTTTGAGAAGATCCAGAATCCACAGCCTTCTTTTTCAAGCTTCAATTCATAATAACAAGTAGAATTCTGCAGAACAAATGGGATTCAGGACAATATAAAACAAAAACGAATGCTCCGAAGTTTTTAAATTCGCATATCAGAACACACCTGACCTCTTGGCTGCTTATTTCTATCAAATGTTTCGTATTTAAATGAATGACACAAAATAAAATTATAGAAAAAATATCATAATATGCCTTTAAAGCTGTTTATTGTCATTCTCTTTATCAAATTGGTACATTCTACTGCATCTTAGGTTGATCATCTCATCTTAATTAGTCTTTGGTGTACATTAGTAAGAGTGAGAATGAAGTCGAGAGTGCACTTAAACTGCAGTTATATCTCAAACTCATTTTTTTCGTACTACTACAACAATCAATTATTTAAGCTGGGATTTTCTCCAAAACTCATAACAGTAAATATAGTGTATTTGTATAATGTTTCAGCCTGATAGATAATTAAAAATTTGTTGTAAATTAAAAAGGGAAAATCACGTGTTTCTATTTGGCTGAAAACTATTCACATAGTTTGTAGAAAATAAATATAAATAAACACAATTCGGAATTGTGTATTTCACCTATTTCATGTTAATAACATCTGAAAACGATGCATTTCACCAAATATTGGATATTCTTCGTTAGAAATATTTTCGACGTTGAAAATATTGATATTAATAAAGTGAAAGAACTTTAATGTCGAAAAAGTTACATAAAATATTACAAGAACTGTGTGAATAATTTTGAGGTAAACTGAAATGTTCGATTTTCTTTCTTACGTACAACAAATTTTTGAACTTTGAATCAAGGTGAAACTTTAGTCAAGTAGACTATACATTTTGGAGAAAATTGCAGTCCAAATGGTCGAGTCATAGCAGAGATATAACATTTGCATTATTTTCTTCGAATGTACGAATCATTTTTAATGCCACAGTATATCAGAAAGTAGCTAATTTGTCTCATAAGAATTAACATGAATGCTTATTTTCTATTGGTGATATTGGTTTTGCGCGAAGCCCGTAAATTTACAGTTTCAAAATTCAGTTAGAGAAAAATATCCTAGGTTATATTAAAACAGGGTTTTTTTGCATGCTTTGTGCTTAAATGTACGTGTTGCCAGTAACGACTTTATGCATTAGCACGCTTTACACGGTATACTGGGTTCTAAACTAACTAGATTTACTGCTAGACACTTTCCGTCTCTTTTATCCCAAACAACAGACACAAAAATCCTCAGAAAATTTATACTCCGTGTCCTCATACAAATAGAAGACAAAAAGAGAAAAGATTCATGTAATACGTGTAAAGATTGTAATGTGGGCCTTTACGTGATTGGCTGCTTTGAGAAATTTCAGACTTTATTGCATTTTCAGTCTTTTTCCTTGTCATGTTTTTTTTTCTGTATACTACATGGTAGTTATGTTAGAGATTTTGTGTATTTGTTTTGTTCTTGTTATTTAAAAATAAACCAGGGATATCTTCAGATTAAGACTCAATAGAATAATTATAATCTTAAATAATATTCAAAGTATAATGAATTTTGACAATAAACTTTCATTTTCTTTTCAAAAAAAAAACACTCCGCCGTCAAAGAGTTAAAAGAAAAGAATTCTAGTTTCTATCGTCTTGTTCGTACCAGTATTTCAATATCTATAAAGGAAAATAAACAATATATTTAACAATTGTATTAGTCATTCTATGATTGTCTATTTATTTTAATTTTATTTTCTTATCAAATTCATTAGAAATTTTGGAAAGTTTTTCTGAAGAAGATCAATTTCATTATTTGAAACGTTAAAATATATTTTAAAAACAAAAAAAAAGAAAGAGAATCTTTACATGAATAGTGTCCAAATCATTTTTCAATCGTAAATAAGCACTCTATGAAGATAAGAGAGGTGTGTGTCAAATGAAGAAATATCAAAGAGTCAGAATCAAAATCAGGATTTTTATTCTTTTCATTTATTCACATTGTCGAGACATGAACTCTGAAAAAGAAAGGAATGATATATTGTTTATTTGAAAAAAATTGACATAAAGTTCATTTTTCGTATGTTCCAGTCTTATCGAAAGATTACGAGGTGTCTATTGAAAATTCTACAATTGGAGACAGTCGAACAAGATAGCATAGATCACTGCCTGACATGGCTGTTAATAAGAGAAAATCTTTGATAAAACCAAGTCTTTTATAGATTAAACCGGCTAAATACACCTTTCTTGACTCTACAAATTAATCTCGTATCCATATTTGCGAATCAGGAGACCATATATGATTGATAATATGCCACATGAAAGACAATTGACTGATCATTGGAATATCATCCAAACTGATGATATTGACTGAAAATCAAGTGAATAGTAGCCACTGATTGGTCGACCACTTAAGTGGATCATTAACTTGTCCAACAAATGACAATTGATAGACTTTGACAAGAATAAGAATAATCAATAGAGCAAAGAGAATAATAGATTGAACAAAGACTGCTATGAAAAGTATTATTGACGCAATTATTTGAGACGATTGAGAATACGACCGGAAAGCTGGCATCATGAGTGAGATCTATGCAGAAATTAGCTTGAAATCGTTGACTGACAAGAGTGGAATCAGTTTACACATGTCATTAATGTAAACTCAACATTAAGAAAATGAATCCATCGACCTTTGCATGGCCAAGGCGGCCAATAATGCCTTCGTGCACTAAGAATAAAGAGTATCAAAGCTCCAAATATGAACACATGTAATTCTATGAATTCACCGTAGAAAATAATTAGATGACATTCTGATTCAAAATCTGATGGATCTCGCCGTTGAGAAATCACATTGCGATAGATAGTAAACACATTAAAGAGTGATAAAATAAGTGTAATAATAACAGCAAGAAGTTTAGGATAATAAGATAATTGATTATTCATAAACTTGATTGACAAAGTCTCATTAAGTTGAATCGTAGTACGATATATGAACGGAGAGGGAAACAAAGAAAGACGAGATGAGTTATCTGCACACTCTAGGTTTTTGTAATCGTTTGTATGAAGGCATTTCTAGTATCGAAATAGATGCGGGTATGACTGTAAGCATTTCTTTTTCAAATATCATTAATGAATTTTTCGTTCGTTCGTTTGGCTTGCATAACTAATGAGTCTCCACCCAACTCTACTACGCTACCTCTAATCACGCAATCGATAAAGAAAAACATGTGTCCGAGGTATAATTTCGTACTCATGAAGCCACTCGCCATTAAGGAGTTAATGCAATACAAAAAGATTAACAAGATCACAACGTGTTTCACTTCTGACGATAATATAAAAAGCTCCAGAAAAAATACTCGAATACAAATTTTCCATCATATTACAAAATTGCGCATGCAACATCAAATGATGAAACTTTTCTTTTGTTAGACCATTTAATAAAAATTTTCTTTTCCTATATGAGATATTCCTCACAGCGTGTTTTGAAGTCACTATAAACCTAGTGGAAATATCCTTTATCGATTAACGAGGAAACATTTCCAACTGATACGCACTATTCGAGTTCAATGTTTTGTTAGTGGTTAGGGTTGATGATATATAAAATACTTAAAATGATCTGTGTCATTGCTGATTAGTTTCAGAGTTACGAGTGAAACAAGTGCAGTGGTAGATGAGGCCACCATTTGTGCGTTATATGGTCTTGTTCTTTTCATATCTTAACCGATTGAGGATGGAATTTTTATAATCGAAAAGTAATTATCAACCATTTTATTTCCTTTTGATGAAACTGACTTCACAAATAACTTATGATAATAAAAAAAAATACAATCTTTCTAGTTTCTTAAATATCAGAAACTCGTCATCAACTTCGTTATTTCTATAGAGTTCTATTTGTTTAGTATTAATTGTAAACAGAATATAAAGAAATGAAGAGTACAAGTCTTGCCATTTTGAGATGATAAGATCGACTTTTTCGCTCATCTTTTCATTGTTTTGCTTGTTCGATTCAGTTTAAAGATTTAAACCGATCGACAGATCAATATGTTGCGATCAAAATGCTTAAAAATCCTGACTTCTAGCAACGAATGTTATTTTTCAATTTTTGTGTTGGACTAGCTGTAGAATACCCTTTCCGCTTCTCATATCTTATAGCCAAAGTTCTGCTCTTATTTGGATAGAGAAACTAGTACATTTTCCATGTGATCTACATACGGGAATGATGTATTTATTTAGCTGCTAGTCTTACAATGTGCTGAAAACAATCTATCGCTTCTTTTTCCAAACAAATCGAAAACAAAGTCGAAATTCAATGTGTTTATTGGCATGACTGATTTGAGTAAATTTTCGCCTTTTTCAGGGTCGACGAAGAAAATTTAATCCTCAGAATTTTCACTGAAAATGCGGTTGTGATTTGATTCTTTTACCGAAAATATATTGAAAGAGTTGTTTATGAAAAAATGGTAAATCTCTGTATTACATTCAATTCTTGATTTATGAGCGATAACCAGCGTTCTACTGTATATACTGTCTACTGGTCAAATCATTCGTTCGTCTTCATAAAGGTGTATCCAGTAGGCAGTTCGATTGAGGTAGGTATTTTGTGCATCGATTCCAGTTTTTCCATAAGCACCGTCGTAATTGGGAATCGATTTGACAATAGCTGATTGAATCTGTGAGCCTTCGTGCCATTCGTTGAATGAAGTGATTCTAACCCATTCGACTTGCGCATTGATCGCGTATCGCCACACGAAATCGTAGGTGTTTCCATTGTGACGTGCTTTGTCACGAGTCGAGCCTGGTACTACACTAGTGTCGACATATCCAGGACCAAGACTCGCAGAGAAAGTCGAGCTTTTCTTCTTGAGATCGTCACTAACTGCTTTGAAGATTGAGCCATCGATATTATAGGCATCGTACGTGTACTGTCCGTCGAAGTAACTTCAATCAATTCGAGAGATATCTGTTGTTTGCGAGAGCACAATAGCATCCGAAGTTGTGCCACGAATACTATCCAACATATGCACCCAACTGGCATCGCTGATTTTCAGACTTTCGAAAATTTAGACAATTTCTCGAGCCATCCTACTCGTGCCCCATTTCGTCGATCGAACTTGTTGATGAAAAGCCGGATGAGCACCATAATTGGCATAGATCCATTGAATATCGGCTTTGATGCTCTCAGCCGTACGTCTATTGTATGGTTCGATATGAAACACCACTTTGAGACCATGTTCATGAGTCAAATGGCCAAGATAAGAACTTTTATATCGCATTGCATTATCTACAGCTCTGCAAGGTTATCAAACACATGTTATTTTTGTTGTGCATTAACGAAGCGAAATAAGTAGTCCAAATAACATAAACTTTGCTATAGAATTCCGCAGAAAACAGTACATCTTCATTGTATATGACGTGAAGAAGTTTCGAAGTAGCTCTCACACTTCGATCGGCAGAAGTGAGCAGGATGCAAAGAATTTTCTTGTCTAACTATCTCGTATTACTTTGAGTATTTATTGCAAACACAAACCATGAAGCGAACATGAATCCATGTATTTTGTTCTGTTACAAGATAACTAATAATCATATGTCTTTACTTTTAGTTTTCTAAAAACTCATCAGAAGATATGAGAAGGAAGTTTTTTTTTCATGCAGTTAGTCCTGAAATGCGCACAAAACAGACTATATTGTAAACATTTTCCAATAAACGTTAATTAAACATAAATTTATTAATATATATTCTACCTGTCTACAAGATAATATATAACGAAGTCACAAAAGCATGGAACCATAAAAAAAAAGAACAAATCATATCACCAATCCACGTATAAAGTCTTTGAGATTAAATCTATTGCCAAAAAGATGTGTTTGTATTCATCGATCTTTTTTTAAAAATTTGTCATCTATTTGTAAAGTTACTTTATGCCAAGCATTATTCATAAGACCTAATATATTCCATATGCCTAATGAAGTATCCGGTTGACTGTTGCAATGTGTATCCATTGCACGACAAACAATATCAAATGGTTTAGAAGGTAAATCATTAAAAGGTATATGATAAGTCCATAGAGTCCATGCCCATGCACGCATATATGGTTGTGCAAGTTGTTCAAGTTCAGCTTGACGCCACGTTTTTCTAAAATAATTTAAATTTGTATTCTTTTAAATTGACTAAACCTTTCAAGTCGAATTAACTTAAATAAACAATGAATTATGTGTATTATTTCTTACAGTAAATTCTTTTTCAAATTTTCACTTAGATATCAATTAATAGATTACACTCACCCATGATCAAGACTAATTTGTACATTTTGTATTTGTCTTCCACCTCCACTTAAAGCATAGCCTTTAATTGTAAGTTTTTTATTTTTAATATCTTCATCATTTGGTTGAACTGATAAAATTTTAACTTTATTTTCATCATCATTCGATGCTGGATAGCAAATAGCTGAATTAACATTTGTTTCTTGTAAAGCAGGAGCATTATCAAAATCAATCTTTTGTGGTTGTTTTGTAGATGATGGTAAAAATTTGTAATCAAATTTTTGCCAATGACTATCTGCTTCTTTATCCGAAACAATAATTCGATTTAACCATTTAACACTACGTGCTCCAATTGTACCCGGTACAAGTATACGTAATGGATAACCATGATCTCTTGTTAATGTTTCATTATTCATTTCATATACAATTAATACATCATCACTCAATGCTTTTTCCATTGGAATTGATGTACCATAACATCTTTAGAAAAACATTTTAACAGTTTATCGATATAATTATTTAGAAAGTCTTACCTTTTTGGTGTTTCACAATCAAGACCAAAAAATTGAACATATTTTCCTTCTTTATCAAGACCAAATGATTCCAAAACATCACGTAATTTAACACCTGTCCAACGAGCATTGCCAACAGCTCCAACATACCATGGTGCACCTCTTACTGATCCTTGTTGTTCATTATTTATTGCATTACGACGATTACCAGCACATTGTAATACTGAAGTTATTGTATATGATTGATATTTTTCTGTTAAATCATCATATGAAAGTGCATAAGCTGATTTTTCATTACTAATTTCTAATTTATATTCATTGATATTAACAAATGGTACATGAATATGATTTCGTACATAGAATTTGTCTACTGGTGTTAAAAATGATGAAACAAGAATAGAAGGTTTTGTTTCAGCATTAAAGGGTCTACTGGAACGAATGAAAAAATTTTCTTTTGCATTTAATCGTTCAGGATCATATTGAAATAAATCGATAATTTTTTCTAAATCTTTTTCATTAGCTGCTCTTTCACCTAAAAAAAAATCATCTTTCTTGAATATAATAATAAAGTTATTTTTTTTTAATACCTGGCAGTAAATTGCCTATTCGATATTCTTCTAAGATTTCATAAACATGATCCATGTCATGCATTGTAAAAATTTTCCAACAACTTTCTAAAGCTTTACCAGCAGATTTGAGAACTAGTTTACCACCAGGATGATTATCAATATATGAACTTATATCATAAACACCATCTTTATAGGCAATCCAATAACCTAAAGAACAAATATAATTAAAATAGAATGTTTTATCACATATTAAGATCAAAAGAAGGTCTTGGTTTTGAAATTATTTTCATAATTAATAAATAATTTAGAATAAATCGGAACAGATTTTGTTTCAAAATTACAAACTAATATTTAAAAGAATATAGAAAAAGCTTAACTCGTACATAAGTAATCAACTAATTTAAAGAAATCGAATAGATATCCTTTTCTCATTGTAACTTTAATTTTTTGTAATCATTGAAAGTTAGTATTAAGATATGATGAAGCTATTGAATTTTTAATATGTGTATTTTTCAGAGGTCTTTGTAGGAGACCAACCAACAGAGATCTTTAACTCACAAAGTCTAAATTTACTTAAGGAGATAGATCGATCCATTGAAATAAAAGTTGTTTCATTTATGATTAAGAACCGTACTAAAAGAACGTACACTTCATTCAGTTAAATATTATGTTACTGTGTTCTCTCTCATCTACAGTGGTATCAACAACAATTACTATTTCTCATTCTAGTTTTTAACTCCCCTGTTGTTTTTCCTCTGGAAAGTTGGTTTGTTCAGACAAAATGACAGTCTCATCTTCTGTTATAGCCGAACGATTATATACAAAAAAAAAAACTGTTAAATGTTGATTAATCTTGTAAAATAGATAAAAAAAAATAAGACTGTATTTATTTCATAGGAATTTTCTATTAGATAGAACATTCATGGTAGTTCATGTATTGTCATTTTCACACTTGGATTGGACTAAACTAAAAGAGTTTTAACGATTCAACTGTAGTTCAAAACGACGAGAAGTGTGATAACCGATGAGTTTTTTTCTCTGGTCAACCACTATATCATAACAAATGTACATATCGACAAAACATATGATATCATATGTGCGAAATAAATATTTTCACTAGTTATTAGATTATCATGGATTATCTTGTTAATCATAGAACTTTTGAATGACTTCTTAGATTTATCTTTTGATTTTTAGAAAATTTCAGCTTATAAAAAAACAAAGAGATAAAGTATGTATAGATTTGATTTCTTCAATACCTTTCTCTTGTGTTGTATGTTTTGCAACTTCAGCCATACTATAAGTTGGCAATGTTGGAATTCGTTCTCCAACATTAACAGATGTATTTGTTTCTGCACGAATAATTGGTTTATATTTTGAAAATAAATAACCTTGTAGAAAAAAACAAATGAATATTTTATTAACTTACTATTTTATTTATGTATAATTTTACCTGCAATTAATCCACTTGTTAAACTAGCTGTAATAATTTGAGGTTTTAGTTTTTGACGAAAAATAAAGGTTAAACGTGATCGCATTTTATGAACCAATCAGAATTTTCCAATACAAAATCTGAAATAAAGTACAAATAAGTGACTTATTTCCACTGATCAAATATCTATTGGTACTTTTGTTCTAAATAACAAAGTACTACAGTCAAGAACTAAATAAAAATGTACATAAATTCATCTGTATAAGTATAAGAAATACTTCTGTAAAATAATTTTTACTATCAAATGTAGGAAATATGTAAAAACAAAAAAGAGAAAATGAAAGAAATTATCAATGTTTGTTAATACATTTGTTGCAAGACTAAGGAGTTGATTCGATGGAAATTCTTAATTTCATACTTGTGACAAAAAAAGAACAAATGAAGAAAGTATGTTTGAGAGACAAGGTTAAAGATATAAAACAAGAAAAAAGAAATATTTCAATGATAAATTTGATAAGAATTAAAGAAATACTTCTTGTCTTAATCTGGAATTATAATAGATAAACGACAAGAAGAAGAACACGAGGAATTTTTCAAAAATATCGCAACTAATAAACAACGTGTTTTTTCTACTTCGCAAAGTATTAATCATGGTACTTAGTTTTTTCCAGTAAAGTGCTAAATAGAGCATCTTTTCAAAATGCAAAGTACCTTGGGACCTGTGCTTTCGTTTGAGGTACTTTTTTTATTGGAAACATTATAACCAATTACAATTTAAATTATATTCAACTCATCTTTTAACACCATCTTTGTTATTTTAAATGATTGATGAATAGTACTAACCAATGAAAAATGTGCTGTTTCTAATGTATTGTTTGAATGGAAAAATAGTAAATTTAACTTATTTTCTTTTATTTTCCTATCTTTCTTGATGATATAATCAAAAAAAAACAGAACAAAAATGTAGTTTTCGCTTATTATCGATAGGATGATTTCGTTATCAGATTCTAGCGTCTTGAATGTACTTGATTCATAGTTTTGACATGAAAACACTCATAGCAAAATTTAGGTATCAAAAATATTTGAAGTAAATGTGTTAAATTACGAAACTGGCGTACCAAAAAATTTGACCCTAATTTTTATTAGCCTGAGAATTGAATCCTGGTTATTTTTCACATCTGAGATCATTCTCAACTATCGAGAAAAAGAACACTTTGATCATATATTCATCAACATAGCTTTTATTTACACACGCTAGAACATTAAGTATCACCACCAACTTACAACTTGCTTAATCAAAAATTGTATTAATATTATTTCAGAAAGTGCTACTTCTAGATTCGGTTACTGAAAGTATAATTTAAGTAGATTAGTTTCTCTTGGTAGTGACAAATGTTTAATCGATTCATAGAATATTCTTTATAATAAAATTATCAATACGTGAAAAAACTTATCTATGATATTAATCAAATCGAATATGATCTGATTTTATTGATACTTTCATTAATTTTATGTACTTAAATTTAGCACAGATGTTTTATCTTATTCAGAATATTCTACATCATAAATCTGCTTCGTGAGCTGATTGATACATGATGTCAAGCTGTTGACTTGCAAACGGTTGATTTTACGTTGATTTGGTCTTGGAAATGATCTATTTTTCTTTTATTCTAACTAGTTTGAATTGATGCACTGGTATTTATGTAAAAAGTTCTCAGCAACGACAGAAAATTGTCTGATACACGTTGCTTTTGTTATTTTTCCCATTCAGCCCAACGTTTTGAGGACTTCGACCTTACATGACACTTTTTTTTTTTCATAACAAGTTGACAATACTACTACATTGTTTGTGCAGGACGCAAGAAAAAAAAAATGACGACCTTATCAAATCTTTTTTTAATCTTCTGCTGTTGTGTATGCCTGTAGCGATGAAAGAAGAAAATAATAGGTGTCTTTTTTCTTCCGTTCACAGTCTACTACTGTCATCATTATCATAATGCATAGAAAAAAAAAGCGATATAAAAACATGCAAACTTCTTCACTATGATGATGCATGCATTTTAATCTGACAAACAGTTGAGTGCGAACGAAGGTAAAAGAAAAATATCTACTTGCTCTTTCACTAGAAAAATGTTGCAGCTGACGTATGATTTTCTTTCTCCCATACTAAACATTATGTTACTGATTGCTTAGTGGAACAAAACAAAAAGAGAATCTGAAGCGTTTGTTTACACATCTAACTGGATGAGTAGTATATTTTTTTTATAAGCTAAATGCTTGCAGAAAGTATGAATAGTATTTGTAATAATCTATTAGAAGCCTATGCAAAACAAAAATAAATAAAGGTTTTAATTGATTTTTTTTGCTGTGACTTCGTAATCGTCAAATGATCTTTCTGTGTGGATAATATGCTTTCTTTCTTAGTAAATGGAAAGTACTAATTAAGAAAGAGAATTTGACTGATCTTGAATTGTCTTTTAGATTCTCTTTTGAAAAAATGTCATCATCCGTGTTTATCTTCGGCGCCAGTGGCTACATTGGTCTTGGTGTAGCTCTGGCCATGCGTCGTGCTGGTTATCGGGTCTATGGAATGATTCGCAATGCGAAACACTCTGCTAAATTAATACAAAATGAGATTGAACCTATTGTAGCCTCGTCATTCGACGAAGTTCAACAAGTTGCTGACATTCTTGCCTCATGCTCGATTATTATTGATGCTGTCGGATTCAATCAAAAACTGTCACCTATACTTTTGGAAGCAGCTCTTCGCGCCGGAAATGATCGAACGCAAAATGGAAAAGTAGCACAATATGCTCCACTTTTTATCTTCACTTCAGGCATTATGACTTGTAAGTTTATAATGCATTTTGATAGATATGAAAGTTTTCATGAGATGTAGAACCATGACAGAGTTAAAATAATAAGTAACGCTTGTCGTTGCGACTTGCTTTCTGATGAACTGAATATTCAATTCTTTCTATATAATATAATACTACAAAAGCCCAATCGATACTAATATCAAATGTATACATGAGAATGTAGTTGTGAGTGTGGATGGTGATGTAGACATGTGTGTCAGTGTCCGTATGATTCTTTCCTTCACCTATTCAACCAATCACATTCATAAACACATAGCCACACTTATCCTAAGTAACAAAACACTTTATCGACTGAAACGTACAAGTAAACAAAGCCCAAAACTCATTTTGTTTGATATAGCTCTACCTTCGGTCGAGGGATAAATTGCTCCTTTCTAAAAAAAAGATTTTATTCAGTAAAAAATTAAGTTTACAATGCACGATACCGATACCATATTCAGATTCCTCGATCTTGAGAACCTATGGTCAAACTTTATAGAAAATTGCTAGTTTGCTAAAGCAGCCTTTCATTAGCGTAAATATCTGATTGGTTGAACTTAGAGAGTAAAGTAATCATAATTGTAATTAGTCAGGCTAAACTAACGCTAATACACCTGGACACGCAATTTTTTACATGACTGAGAGATCATAAAATCATTTCATGTGAGTTTTTAAGGCATGCTAAGTCATCGTAGGGTTAACAAAAAATAATCTAAAGCACATGTGTTCGAGAAAATTTTTCTCTTAAACAATATTATTGTACCTCAGTTCGAGTGCACTATTGAGTTGATCTAAACATATTTTGCCTAGACGGTGACACATCTCCAACGGGTCGTCGTCCGGTCGATGAAACAATCAAGCCACGGCTTCAAGTAATGAAAAGTCGCAGCAGTTCCTCGTCGGCCGATGTAACGAACATGAAGGAACGCGAAGACTATGAGAATCAAGTCTTGGCCAGCTCTTGTGCCTCGCTCAAGACTACAGTTATACGACCTGGCTTCGTCTATGGTGGTCAAGGTGGTTTTGTGGCCGATCTGTTCTATTCAGAACCTCTAGTTATTCAAGGACGAAGAGATATGCGTTGGAGTTGGGTTCACGTCGATGATCTAGCTGAAGGCTATGTCGCTGTAGGACGCGCTCCACGCAGCGTTGTCGACGGACAACGTAAGATTCCTGTAAGAAAGAATAGAACAAGTTTGAACCTTGAATTTCGTTTCTAGTATACAATCTTGCCGCTCCAAACGATAATCCCACGTATGAAGAATTGCGAACTGCAATGGCTAAAGCTCAGGGTCGAAAAGAAAATATTAAGTACAAGGAAGCTGAGGCTGATGTACCATCGCGATGGGATACGGATTCGTCAGTTTTTTTCTCAACTGAATAACTAAAGATGTGTTTTTTTTCGTTTAAATAGGATTATCAATCCAGCCAAGGCTATGAACGAGTTAGGCTGGCGACCAAGACATGTGGGTTTTGTCGAGGAAATCGAGACGTATTATAAGGCATGGGCAGCTCACAAAGTTACTCAAGAGACAACCAAGTAGTTTTTTTAAACTTTGCATCTATCATTATGGCTTAAAAACCAAATAAATAGCAATCATCTTAAATGTTCAGCGATGTCTTTTGTGCATATCGCTTGATATGAATAACAATAATCGAATACAATTGAATTCTATCGCGCCAGGTACACCTTGCAAAAGAGTTAACTTTTCGACTGATTGAGCAGAACAGAAAATCTTCTTCTCCAATTATTATTTTAAAGCGTTGCTTATGTGAAATCAAAGCAAAACTTAGATTTTGATCTCTTATATATTGTTCAATAGAGCTCAGTGATTTGGTCAAGAAAATGTGACTTTTAATTTATCTAGAACAACCTTTACCAGAAAAATGACGACGGATTCTCGATCTACTATTTTCGTGAACGTCTTTTGAGATCAAATAATTGGAAAAACAAACTCTAAGTTTGATCTAAAATTAAAAGAATGGTTTGAGCGCGAGTTTCAAATTAAGCTAATTTATTTGTCTGACCAAAATCATATTGGCTATTGATGATCACCTATCAAATGGCATATACGTCAGGACTTCGTTTAATGACAACAAAGAACGACTTTAAATGAAATGCACGTCACATAAAAAGGGTGCGGGTGTACTTTGTCTCCTTACAATACTCCTGTAATCATGCACACATTCCATATCCTGTGATGTCCCAGCAGAAGACCGAGCTGAGTTGAAAAAAAGCCGCGTTTCTATGGAGAGTTTCCAATCGAAATTCAAAAATCAGATTTTCTTGTGTTTCTGAAGGGGACGAGAAGTGTCAAATCTCATATTAGTACTAATTTTGAAATCTATGTGTCAAAGTTATAAAAATTTTTAATTCTTCACAATGATTGAACTAATTATAAAATTGCTGACAATGAAAATCGATCATTGTCGAAAGGCTTTTAAAAGAAACTTAAATATATCTCATAATATGAAATTTGATTTTGAAAATGATGCAGATGATTTTATCCAATCTTAGATTTTCTCTAGAATTTCATTCATATGTCTTTGTACTTATTTATTTTGTCATGATATTCTTTCGAACTTAGAGTAATTATATATAAATAGGGAATATGATTTACTTAAACGATCAGTTATTAAGTAAATAGATTTAAATTACTTTTGTTCTTCTTTTTCTTTCTCTTCAACTTTTCTACATATTTTCTTTGTTCTGACCTACTTCTTTTAACCTACATATTTTGTGAATAAGAAAAATCGTCATTTGATTTCTACTTATTGTTCACAATCTATAACAAACGAAAAGAAGCTTCTCGACTTCTTTCTGGTCATTGTCTTTATCTGCCCCTATGTATAAATATTGCACGTTTACAAAATTTGACGTATTTATAACAAGGGAAGTGATACAAGCAATGTCTTTAGAATTATGAATTTTACTCGTAACTTATAATCGATTCCGCTAGATGTTTTAAATAGACAACGTTTAATAAATTCAAAAAATCATTTGATATTTAATATAAGAAAATGAAGAATGATTCACATAGAAAACTATCGCAATGTAACTATTCAGCTTTTTTTAAGAATTATATATGGAAACACGTTGTAAGCATGGCTACTCGTTCGTTTGAAATATTGTAAATTACTATCAACAGAAGCAAAGACACTGCCCATTGGTGAAGAGAGAAAAAGAAGTAGCCTAACAAAGACTAAATATGCGTTTCTAATACAATAATTTAATTTTCATTTTTCTGATTTTTTTCAATTATTCTTTAAATTTCTTTTTGTTTATTCTATGGTTCTTTGATTTATTTTCTACTGATAAATTTTTAAATGCTACTTATATTTAATAAAGTCGTGATCATTTTACAATTAATTCTTGGTAATTTTACTATTGATTGTTTCATATTTATACTGATCATGTCATCTATTATACTGACTACTTACATGATAGTTAATAAATAGACAAAAAATTCGATGCTAAATAAAACAGATTCTGTTGCATATATTTTTCAGAGATGTACATTAAGTTGAAAAAAACACACATATTCACGTATCTTGATCAATGGCGCTTTTCAAATGAATTTTGTCTTCGTATTCGTTTACATTGCTTTCAATTTCTTTTGAAAAAGTATTCATCTCGTCACTATTCTCTAAAAATAACAACATAGAAACAAACAATAATATTTTTTTTAGTTGAGATACAATGAATGTGATCCTTTTGTTGATTTAGGTTTAAGACGAGAATTTTATTGTCTATTGCGTATGAGCCAGTCCACGTAAGCCACGACCGACCGCGCTCAATCGATATCCTCCGATTTAGCTCATTTTAATATATGTGATAGAGGCAAGAGGTTGATGATTTTTGGCGAAAGGCNAAAGTTTACTCTAGGTCTCTTAAGAGACCAGACGAATAATGAGCTCATTGAAAATCGTCCTTTTAGTTTCTAGACATCTGTCAGTTTGCTGTCTAATAACTTCAAGCAATTTTCAAGGTTTCTTTTGATAATGTTTAAATGGTGTTTTGATGCAAGACATTATTTGTCTGGTCTTCAAAGGATAAACTGTTGGACGAAAAAGAACATTATTCTGAAAACTCTCTAAATCACACCTAGATCAACTAAGTTTTTATGCTGATTTCGAATATTATATTAGTTTTGACTTAAATTGTACTTTTTCTGATCAGAATCTTGTAAATATTGATTAAAAAAACATAAAACCATTCCACGAAGAATAGTGTGCGTAGGAATTTTGGAATGTGGTCAGATTTTTGTTTTGGACTTGGGACAACGTATGATCTTGTAGTTTTTACAAAGAGCTATCAAATATGCAACATGTTTATTTTATATCTCGCTAAATTAAACAATCAATTGGTGATATCTAAGTGGAATGAAAGTCTCATCAAAGAACTATGAAATTCATAATTTTAGTGATATTTCATCTTGTTTGTTTATTCACAAAATTGAATCCATCATAATAGAACGAATTATTAGAACAATGACCAAGAATGCGTTACTTTATTGATAGTTTTTAGCTTTCCAAATTCAATGAAAACTTCATGAAATTACTACTACAAAAAGATTAGTTTCAACATGCTTTTATCGTTGATAAATGTTTCAATAGAGTTGGTCAAAAAAAGTTACTGGTGGACTGATTTAAACTCTGATCCTCGCCCATCCTTGGTATTCAAATTATGAATTAATATTTTAGATATTGTATATAATAGAATTAAACAGTTCCTAATTGCTGTGTTGACTGTATCAATTGAATTGACAAGGTGAAAAAAAGGAGCACTGTTCAAAATGGCAATGCCGAAAATAACACCCTATGAGCTTCTTGGCGTAGCTAAGACAGACATCAGTTCAGCAATAAGTCTGGCCTATCGTAGGTGTATTCTAGAATTAAAAAAAGATCGATTGAAACCAGTTGGGGAACGGACAATAACCACCGACAAATTTCGACTCATATGTCGTGCCTACGAATTATTGTGCAATCAGGACGAACGAAAACATTATGATCAAACAAAAGAATGGAGATGGTATGTGCCTGTGGAAAATTACACATTGCAACAATTAGTGGCTGAGCCTGATCTGGCTCCCCTATTGACAACACGATTACAAAATGCGACACTGAGACAAATCAATGCTCAGGATTCTGTAACCGGACATACGCCTCTCTATTGTGCAGCACGTGCTTGTAACGTGGAAGCCGTCTCCTATTTAACTGAACAAGGTGCAGAACCGGATCTCAAACAACGATTCGGCAGTACTGCGCTTCATGTTGCTGCTTTCTATGGACATCCAGAAGTGGTTCGATGTTTACTGGAAAGTGGAGCCGATTATTGCCAATATAATGCAAATAACCATCTCGCTGAGGACGAATCGTATGATGACGATGTTAAACGTTGCTTTACCAAACTAAAACAGAATCCATACGTACAAGCAGCAGCAAATCAGCTCGACTGGTTCAAGAATAATATTGGGCATATTTCACAACATGTTGATTATCAATACTATAGTCTACGTCAGACCCTATTGCATTGTGCAAGTAAAAAAGGTCATAAAGATCTTGTCCGATGGCTGGTGAAAGAACGTGCCGCCAACCTGGACATTGTTGATATCAATTTGAATTCTGCTTTACATCTGGCAGCATACGCAGGGCATCACTCGATCGTCAAATATCTTCTCGCACATGGCGCTGATACACTACTTATCAATAAATGGGGCATGACTGCTGAACAAGAAAGTTTAATGCATGGAAAATCGATGACAAAACACTTTCAATCCATGCGTGATCACGATATGTTTAAAATGGCGGCAGACGGCACCGATTGGTGGTTTCGATATCATTTCGGAGCTAAATCACCCGATGCCATGAATGACGCTGGTGTAAGTTTACTCTATGTTGCCTGTCGCAATGGTCGAAAGTCCGTAGCCAAATGGCTTATAAAAAAGGGTGCAGATATCAATCTTCAAATTCAAGACGAGTCGAAAAGCACACCTTTGCATGCTGCAGCCTATCATAATCATGTATCGACTGTTGCATTACTTCTGAATCATGGTGCGAATACGAATATTCGCAATAAATATGGCTCTACAGCCCTCGATGATGCTCGATCAGATGCAGTGAAAAAACTCTTACGACAACACCGACAAAATTTGACAGAGAATAAATGGATTTCTGTGCATCTCTTCGGAGATGGTGCGAAAACCGGCAATGAACCATTAGCCAGAGTTCAACTACATTGTGACGCTAATTTTCATGATCTTCTGCAATCTATGCCTGAAGCATTACGCAACATATATCGAAATTTCTCCATGGCTCGGCGTCCATTAAATAGTGGCAGTGATGATATTCAAGTAGTTTCAGCTGTGTGTCGTGCTCGATGTGGAAAAACGAAATTCATCGACTTGCCACTCTGTATTACCGCTCATGAATCACCGCGATATACACACAGTGGTCATACGATGAGTCCAGAACTTCCCTTTTATAGTTTACGTGAGTTTCACAGTAGATTTTCATCAAAATGTCAAACGGCAAAACTTACAATTAAAGCTCATAAACATACGCCACAAAAATTTACTTTGAACACTTTATTGTTTACTTTTCCAGCAGAATGTGTGCAGACGAATCTCATTATTAATGTGAGTTATATATTTTCACCGGACATTCAATCATTTGACTTGCCAGGATGTGTCTATCTTTTCAAAACTCAATGTAATCAAGAAGAAAATCAACTCGATGAAATGCCCATAGTATCCTTAATTAATGAACCCAATGCTCGATTATATACTTGGGCACAGTCTTCAGCCTATTGGTTTACTTCTGATGAGAAAAAAACACTTTTACCTTCGATTGGAAGTATACATGCGTTTGTAAAACATATAGATGTTATTCCCTCTTTACTCAGTCTGCCAGGTGACATGTTTATTCAGGGCGCACTTGGTAAACCATTGGTATCACGTCAAGATCCAGTTGTTTGTTATTGTTTAAAAGTTTGTGAGCACAACAAGAGTGTCTTTTCGAACATCGCTTATCATGGAACAACGATTGGTGTCATTTGTTCGATTCTTATGGACGGATTAGTGATGCCAAGTACGGTAGTCTCGAGTGGAATACGTGTTTGTCCACCGACCCATCATATTCCTCGAGGTGCATCTGCATATGGTATCGACGATTTTGCCAACGGTATTTTCATAAGTCCAAGTGTTCATTACTGCTCGGATCCGTGTTACGCTGTAACATTCTCCCATAATGATGAGCGTCTCATTGCTGTACTGGAATGCAGTGTCAAGAGCGGTTCCTATGAAAGCTTTCCATGTACAGTTCAAGATTATAAACCTCATCCCAGCGATAATATGCAAGCTATCGAATGGCGTCTCACCAATCCTGCAGCCATCGAAATTATCTCTGTCCTTTTCATTCCAATTAACAAATCAAGAAGTAAAGCAGCAATATCACGAGCGAAGAAACTTGGCGTTGATCCAAATGATATGGCTTAAAATATTAGCTTTATCAGTTTCTACATCATTCAAAATATATGCTTTCATCACGATACATTCATTTAGTCTTTTCTATCGAACTGCTCACTATTTTGCAAAATTTTCAGGTCTCATAAAACTCATTCCTGTGCTTTCAAATTTGATTGATTTTTCACACTGTTCGACCTTGATTTATACTAATGATTAAAAATTCTTAGGTATATCTCTGATCGAATCTAATACTGCGGACATTTATTGTTTGAATGGTTCAAAGACGGTGAGTAAGATATTGGAGTTGAATTTTCAGAAAACTCAGTCACAGCCCAACATCCTCATTTCATGATGAAGAAAAATTTCTTGCAAAGGATCATTGCTATGACATTTTTTGTGCGATTAGTGTCGTTAACATCTGATCTACGTTCTTTTTACGTGATTGAAATGCCGGATATTGCATATCACGTTGACTTGTACTCGAGATATTGAATTCTTTGACAATGATGGTTTTTTTTGTGCTATCGGTTTGATTGTATTTATTCTGCATTAATAATGTTTCTTCTTCTAATTATAAATATGATTGATCAATAGTGGCAATGAGTTAACATTTTCGAACATCGCATCATTTATCTGAATTATCCTAAATTTAATTACAAAAGGAACCATTATTCAGCGTCGAACTTCTAAGCTACAAGCAATCGTAGATTTGCTGTTGCTCATGATGATACTATTGAACAGACATGGGTAGAAAACTTTAACCATATCAATATAAATCTCTTATTGATACTAGTTTGAACAACTAAAATTTATAGGAATTTCCATTATCTCTACTCTACGATCATGCCTATTCAGGCTGACCAGAAAAATAGAAATAAAATTTGTCCTAATTGTGGAGCACTGTTTTTCTCAAGGTAACCTAGCTGAGAGTAAAAAAACGAATTTTAGAACCAGACTGAGTGGTACCATCACTACATATATCATTTTTGTATTTTTTGACCACTTTCTCAGATAGAGTTGTGAATGTCATCGTGGACAATTTTCTGAATTGTTTTCTGCTCATCGTCAAAGAAAGTTATCCTAATTCCAAATTTTCCATTGCCTCAAGCCTATTTCAACACACTACTCTCTCGAACTTTTGATAATTGATGATAGAAAGATAGAAAACATTCACTTAACTTGGCAAGAGTCACTTTCATTATCAATTGAAATATTTTTCGAAATCGAAGAAAATTCTTTAGTCAAAGTTCGACACGATTGAGTAGAATAAAAATTTGATATTTATCGAAAAAAATATTGTAAATGCAGCTACAATGAAACTCTAATATTGATCTCACATACGAATAATGGAACGAACAAATATGAAAACTAATATAAGTGTGAGAGAAGTTTCGACACCATCAAAATCAAAGAATCAATACTATGAACGGAAATCAAACGCATTTTCGAAACCAATTCTTTTTCTATCTTATTAGACAATGAAAAAAATCTGTTTGATAGACACTATTTTGTAATTTTTGAATATAGAACTGCACAAAATTATATATTGATGCATAATATGATCTGTAGTCAATTATTTTATGTATCTGAAGCATCGTGATCAAGTTATTTCTCAAGAATCTAATCGATTGTTTATGTTATTTAATGGATAATTTGGATTCAAGCTGAAACGAAAGCTTAATATATTCCATATTCTACTTACATTGATGATAGTTATGACTGTTAATGATATACAATGGGCGAGATAATAATATCTACATAGCATCTCCGTCCGAATATTCGATGATTTGATCGATGACAAAAGAAACATTATTACATAAAATAGAATTTCAAATCCAAGAACAATGTTGAATATTAGAAGAAGACGACAAAATTTGCCTGTGGCAAGACTCATTAATGGTTTCATAAAAAAGACCAAAAAAGAAATCATATAGCTGATATAAGAGATTTCTGTAATAGACAGAGCTCGACTACCAAGAGTTACCGTCAATATCCGAATGATTAAACTAAAATGAGAATAAAATAGAAACTAATGACTTTTCAATCAAATATAATAACGATTAACAAATGATAACAATTCCAAGTGACTAATGACGGCACGATCATAGTTTCCAAATTCAAAAGTTGGACAAGTAATTTTCCACCGATCAAATATTTTAGTGATGACACAATTCGAATGAGATGACCGTGAATTTGTCTAGCAATCACATCGCATTTTGACTTAGCTCAATAATCTCATCAGATGGTTATGACTTTTATATTGGTAGTGCGAATGTGATCTGAATGTGTCAATTCATGCAGATGAAAAGAAGGTCCACAGTAACGCCCCATTCACACCCTATAACAGAATGACGAGCTTCCATGGTTTCATTAATGACAAACTATCTACGGAACAGAATGAATAACAAAAAAGATCAAACTGAAGAAGTTTAGTATAGATCATACTACATCTTGTGAGTGCTCTATGATCGTTTTAACAATACATTATGTAATTAGTTTTAGTATTATATTCGAATGATTATTATTAATAATTTATATCAAAGATAACATAAGTATTTGAATAGTTTCAATTAAAGCTGCATCCCTCTGTCAGAATTGTAATACTACTAAAAGATTATAATTTGTATTGTGAAAGAACACCTGTAGAGACACATATTGTTTAGCAATATATTATACTGACCTAAGATTTATTTTATTTTGGGCTATGATAGACGTTTTTATAAATATGAAATTTAATTTACATTGAGAGTGTGAAATGTAAGTGTGGATGTTAGGTTCAGAGGAATTATCAGTAAAAAACGAGCGTTAGTGACATGACACAAAAAACGATATCGACTTTCACTTCATGCATTATCATTTAATAAAATTCTGAATTGAGACAGAATCTTTGAAAACTAAATAGTACATTCTGTAGATAATTTCTGAGGCAACAAAGTCTCTATGCAAAATTTTTTCTGATCATGCATAGATTTTTCAAAAAAAGGTCAATTTACTTGTCGTTAGCGATGTGACAGAGTAAGCGTGAAAAACTTCACAGATGCGAGTCGTACTGTAGAGTCTATCTTGAAGTTTTCAGATTTTTTGCTCGTACGATTAGAGAGATATTCGCTAATTACTTTTTAATTAATAGTCAGCTGAAAGAGTCAACATTTTTACATATGTCTACACTAAAAGAACTTAATCAGAAAAAATAACCCATATAAAGAATCAAAGTCAAATGAAAGTGGAGTATGCCCCGTTTTCACCGATACATAGATATTTCTTATACTTCCTACACATCCATTTACTTCCTATACTCCTTATACTACCTACATTTTAGTAGAGTCTACACAATTCTAGGACCTTTTAGAAACCTAAATATACTCGATTTGGCCTTTAACCTTTAATCTTTGACTTGATAACACACACAATGAACAGTATATACATATTTATGTATAGATAGATAAGATCTGGTTCAGTTCTGATCTCAGTACCCATCTATAATACTTGAAAGTTTCAGGTTAAACAGAAATTTCTTTTTAATATGGACAAAAGATAGGAAAATTGTCCAAATTATTCTTTGTCAAAGTGATGTATCTTCATTGATGTGATCACATTGAATTCGTCTTATTCGAATCATTTTTAAAGAAACGTCTTTTACACTATCTACTACTATCACTTTTTTGTCGAATCTTATCCACATATCGTTATTATCCTATAATTCGATGTCTACTTTAACAATATAAACGAGTATTTTCATTTCTTCTTTTTTTTTTTAATACATCAAAAACATTTGATAATCCATATAGACGCAAATCTATTCACAACAAAGGAAAATAGAGATAAAAATTTCTTGAATGAACCATTGTTTTCTTAGCTCTGAGATGTTTCACTTTTGCACAATTAACTCGTGTTGCATTACTGGTGAAATTTTCTGTTATGCTTGTCAAATGTTCAAATTGAATTTCAAGATGATAGAGACAAGAAAGATGTGTATTTGTATCGAGAAGAAATTGTTCAACATAATTGATATGAGCATATTCGAGAACGAGTCGAAAAAGATGAGGAAATTTTATGATTGAAGATATTTGTTCATGATCATACGATTGTAGCGCTTGCTTCTCCTGTTGTATTGTGTTCAATACAGTCATACTGTTGAGTAATGGGAAACGAACGAGAGATTCGATTAAAGAAATCATGTTCGTATGGATGGATGTAGTCAGCTGCAACCAAAGTATGCACACTTGTGAATAGTATATCGGCAAAAAAATTATTGGTTATATTCTGCATATATTTCATGGTAAATGGGAATGAATAGACGTGACATCCAGTCAGACAAAAATTTTGAAAAACGCGTTTAAACGCGCAGTCGAGAACCGCGACTGTGATCCATTAACGCTCATTAAAAAAACGCACGAAAACGCGTTTATTGGCGTTTTTTGCAACTTTCTGGGCGTTAAAACGGTGAAAACTCCAATTTTTGAGCGTTAAAACGTATGGTTTTTAAGTTCTACAATAATTGTGCGTTTTAACGCTCAATTATTGAAGTTTTCGCCGTTTTAACGCGCACAAAGTTATANTAAATATTGTCTAAGATCATATTGTTTCGAATAATTTGACTTCATATTTAACTCAAAAGCAAAAACAATAGATTCATCTTTTTTGAAATACTGATGTAAAATTGTATGATAAATGAAAGAAAAGGAATAGATGTTCGATTATGAGTTTTAAAACAAGCTAGATTAATTGAGTGAATGATTTGACATTTATTTAGCTACCTTAACATCTAATGTTCTAACGATCTATGCTAATGACGATAAAATCTAATAATTGTATATTTTGTTTACTCTAAAAAAATAGGATATATGAAGAATTTAATACCTTTTGTTTTTTCGTTATTCAACTTATCATGAATGGTTTAGATTGTGGACTCGATTTCTAGGTTATGTTCGATAAAAAAAACTATGTCATCATCATTTGACGTCATGATAAAAATTACAATTATATAAAATATGCGTCATGTCTGATGACGCACGAACACAAGCAAGTTATCGAGCGTATTCACTAACCTTGTGCCCAAGGCGATTCATCTAATATTCGAACAATGTCTTTTTCTTTTTTGAGCTTATTCACTCAGCTATATATATATAAATGATAAGCATGGGAGATTTCAACAACAGTCATCATCCAAAATTTTCTTCTGTTCGATAACCACAATCCACTTCACAGTGATAATGATGAAAAAACTCTTCATCGTTCTAGGTAAAGATTGAATGAGATACATTTGTAGAATGATAATGATTTTCTACTTTAAGTTTTAACGCCAAGCGCATATATACAAATGGCTTTGGCATACTCCATCGACAACAATACATTGATTACAAATTCTAATTTTGTGTCTGAATCAGCGAACGATACGTTCAATACAACTTCTACGTCGGCATCTCCATCAGTAAACGAAACATCTAGTACAAGTCCTCCTTTGGTGTCTCATCACTCAACGAACGACACGTTCACTACAATTTCCACTTCAATGTCTCAATCAATCAATGAAACAAGCAAAATTCATGTTAAACAAAATATAACTGGGCATGTATCAGCACAGCCATCTTCAAGCCGAAAACCATCCGTCGGTCTTGCTTTGGGAATGATTAGTGGTGGCGTAGTAGCCTTAGGCACTGTCTTTGCGCTGGCATATGTTCTTTACAAAAGGAGTCAATCGTCTAAATCAACTACAGCTACATAAACTAATTTCGAATTAGTGTGATATCTCTAAGGAACTTTATCTTATTTTATTTTAATCAATATTAGTTGCCTGTTAGTAGTGTTTGATGTCAATCTTATTAATTAGTAATTATATAGACTATTCTCTTGTAAATAAATGAAATTACTCTCTATTTTTGTATTCTCCTCTTGATGATACGATGATTTGCAGTAAAAGCAACTAGCATCAAATAGTTTTTTCATTTAATTAAGTACATAGTTTCACAAAGAAATCTTTCAAAAATACTTTTTAGAAGATATTAGAATATTTTTTTAATTTTATTAATCACCGAACTTCACAGGGTATGGGTGTCTGTGGTAAAAATAACTTCCACCCCGTATCCATACCCACAGTCCAAGTTCCAAACGTTTTCTGGTTATGTTTGGGAAATTTAGTCTATGAAAAGAGCAAACAAATTCAAAGAATGATTGACCATGACTAACTGATTGTTGACTGTAGTAATTATTAAAGATCATTGCACTGGATTATATCTGTGATGGTAGATTTTGTTTATCTTTTTTTGTGTTATTATTTGATTTTATGTTGAGATTTTCTTCAATAAACCAATGTAGATGATCATCTATTTGTTGTCCAGTATTGTACAATCAGAAGATGACTTCAAAATCATCATGTGATAAAGTACTACATTCAATATTATATAACACATAATTACATTTTTCACAATATCGAACAAGAAAAATACAAAACATGATTAATATCAAATCTATTGAAACTCAATAGTTGTCTATATCTAAATGGTCCGATTAGTGACATGAACGGAATCAATTGGTTTTGGTTCCTATTTCAGCATCATGTTACCCATATCTGATTCTGATTTTGCTTTATTTTTATACTAACTTCAGTAAAGACAAAATTAAATCGTAGCAACTAACTATTGCAATAATATAAATTCTTGAGAATTTTTAATAATAGTATGAGATTGTCGATGTTTAAGAAATATTATACAAAAGTGAGTTTTATCTACGTTCTAATAATTATTGCTTTTAGAAGTGCCACAGATAGTTGTCTTATGTTTTTGAATTTGGTTAGAAAAAGAAAGATACAAAATAGAATGATGTTTCTCAAGAACAATATGGGATCCGTATTTCATTGTAAATAGTATTTGTGTTTGAAATTCGACTTATTCAGCCAAGATTAAATGTTTCTACGAATTCGAGATGTGCGTTCTGTTCCTTTGGTTACAATTGTTTCTTCTTTGAGATTATTAGATTCGAATTATCTTTGCTAAACATTTGCGATCGTTTTTTGACAGCCAGGTTCTTTTGTGACTAATAGGTTTTGTTTCAACAGCCATTATTTTGCTCCCATTATTTTAGATATCAACACAACGTAATAGAACCTAAAAATGGAATATGCTTGGAAAAAGCTTTACAGATTGTATAATGTATCTTGATGGTATCGTAAATGTTTGGAAAAATATTTCCAAATGAAAAGCTTGCTTCAACTAAAGCTCCACATTGCAAAAGAACTATCTCTTGAGTATTTTCAGAGCTCTCCTATACAAATACATATCAATATTCAATCTAACTTTCGTTTTGTCTCACAAGAATCGAAATTATAGAATGTAAATTGTTTATCTTTGCGAAGATTTTTCTAATTCAATGGGCGTTTTCCTATTCGTATATTTTACTCTAGAAGCCCTCAGAGAAAGCTTTACCGAGGGTGTGAGTGTTGGTGTGGGATGTTGATTCTCTCTTCACATACTGACACCCATACCTCGACTCCCACTCACCCACATCCTAGCTTGCAAAATTCTCTTTCAGAGATATCACATTGACGGTTAAGCCCCGTTCAAAGCGATTTGTGAACGTTAATGACAAAGCTTTGACAGCTTAGCTTCCTATCGGCCTTCGTCGAACAACACGCACTTTAACCGCACAACTCAATTGTTCTCACATGATAGTAAATACTCATCTTCACGCTCGCAGCAAGACGAATAAGTACAGAAATTGGCTTCCATGCCAATTTNATACCAACAGTCTAATTTATTTTTTACAGCTTTTTATATGTCGTTACTTTTCATCTTTTTTCAAATATATCTAAGACAGTTTTTGGGACTAGTCATATATAATTTTGTAGAGAATTTCAAGCGCTATCTTTTAGTATAAAAAGATGTCCCGATCTAATGGATAATAGAAGAGTTATACTCAAAATACGAATGGTATAATTTATTCTGGGACACCCGTTATTTTCTTTCATTAGAGAAGTCATGGCTCAAGTGCCATTTCCATGATGCTGAACAAACTCGCATCAAGAAACCCGATGAGTTACGAATCACCAAAAAAGATTACGCTCCATTAGGAAATATAGAGAACAGTACAGTGGATCGCATCCAAGGTTCAATATTTGGTTTGGCTGTGGGTGATGCCTTGGGTGCTTATGTAGAATTCAGGCCTCACGATTATTTGGTTGCCAATCCAGTGAGGGATCTAGTAGGTGGAGGGACATGGGGTCTACAGCTGGGGCAGGTAGGGACTTCAACAATAGGAAGTGCAGAATAAATTTTTTTTCATAGTTCACCGATGATACCTCCATGGCACTTTGTTTGGCTATATCACTTATTGCTTGTCAAGACTTCAATCCGTATGATCAATTGGTTCGCTACAAATGGTGGTATCGACGTGGCTACATGTCATCAACTGGTCATTGTTTTGATATTGGAGCAGCCACAAAAAAATCTCTTCAAGAATTTGAAAAGCGTCAAACAAAATATGCACAAGATCATGGCATTGCTGAACATCAAATAGACTTTTTGCCCAATCCTAATCTTCCAGCGTTTGACGTCCGATGCAGTAAAGAAGGTGTGGCTGGAAACGCACCCTTGATGCGCATCGCACCTGTACCGACCTTCTTCTTTCACGATCCAGTAAAGGCCATTGAATATTCTGGTATGAGTGGAGAAATCACTCATGGAGATGTCAAAGCTTATGATGCTTGTTGTTACTATGGAGCTCTTATCGTAGCTGCGCTTAATGGTGAAGACAAAGATGAATTGACTAGTAAAACATTTTACGATAAACATTTAGCATGGTTCGGTGGTCGAAAACTTGATCCTGAAGTTATGGAAATTGCTCGAGGATCGTACCAAAGAAAAGGTGGATATGAGGATGGAATTAGAGGAAAAGGATACATTATCAATGCTATGGAAGCTGCTTTATGGGCATTTTGGAGTGAAGACTCGTTTGAGAAAGGTATACTTAATGCAGTGAATCTAGGCGATGATACAGATACAACTGCAGCTATCTATGGTCAATTGGCTGGTGCTCATTACGGATACAAGAAAATACCCGGAAAATGGTTGAAGTCTATTTATGCTAAAGATTTTATTCGTTGCATAAGCAGTTGGATCACCTATGAAGGGGAAAAATGGTTTAGAAAACAATCTAATTTAGGTTCCGGTGAAACAATAAATTCTGTAAATAACAAGCCGTCCAATGCGGAACCGAATGTCTTTAAAGCTTCGATGAAAAGCTTAATTGTAAAAACTGAAAGTTCATCGATTGGAACTATAACTTCAAGTACCGTTCAACGAAAGGGAATTAATCCTGTTGGTCATATAGGATGTCTGTATGATGGATGGCGAGATCATCTTATAGAATCGTCGAATATCAATTTGAATATAAAGGAAAGTTCTTCATATCCATGGGGAAAATGTATGATAAAAATTGGTGACAAACTTGAAAATCGAAACATTCTTCAACTAATTGATTTTCCTACTGACCTCAGATTGAGTGTGTTATCAGATTTGGTTATACCGGAGGGTATTGCTGCAGTGATCAATTATCCCTATGAAATCGATGAATACACTCGCATCTTTTATTATACATATCTGGTTCGAAACGAAGCCTTAACTGATGAGAAATGGATCCTAAAAGAGCCACCTACAACTCTAGCTACACATGTCATCACCGCAATAGATTTGGGTATCGATGTTGTGGTTCTATTGAGATTGTCACCTGATGATCTATCGATGATCGATAACAGTCTCAATCAAATACGTCTATGTTTGGAGAAAGAAACGAAATTAACTATTAATGAACATTTGCTGAGCCAAGTTCTTTCTACACATGTTTATTCAAACTTGCCAAATTTAGCAAAACAGACAACAATAGTTAATGTGTATCACGAAATATGCAGAATCAAAAGTATTACAGCTGAGTATCAACCGTGTAACTATATCCTTCATCCTATTGATATGTTTTATTCAGATCGAAAGCAACAGAACACGAATTTTTTTCCGATTGAGCCGAAAATCGCAATAAGAATCGAAGAATATTTGCTTCAATGTTTATCTTTGAAGAAAATATGGACAATATTTGAAAACAATGCAATGTCCTATATTTGGCAAAATGATCTTAAGGAGCAGTTCAAAGAGATTCATCGAAGAGTCTCAATATTAATCGATCAATATGAAAAAACAAGGAAAAAAGATCAGGATTCGATTTTGAATATTCGTCAAGGCAAAGAATCGCAAGAGATAATCGAATATTACTTACGGATTGAGCAAGAAGAGACGATATTGAAGAGCAGCATCGATAATTTGAAGCATGATATAAAAAAATTTGAAGAAGAACATAATTCTATTGAAGACTTGAACAAAAATGAACTTCATTATTGGAATACTGATAACTATAACTATGGTATTAAAAAAGGCAGCAACGAAAATAAGGTGCAGGAAAATCTAAATAAAGATAGCGAACAACAACACATGTTGTGTTGCGACGATAATTTAAACGTGACGAATCAGTCAAAACTACAAGACATGCATTCAGAAATGGTTAATAAACGCGCAGAAAACACTGACATAAAACAAGTTAAGATCGAGTTCTCTAATTTTTCAGGCGAGCTCCATATTGTAAAACCGTTTTCACAAACGAGCTCTGTTTCAGCTTTTAGTGTGCTTGGTTATTTGACACCGAAGCCGAAAAAGTGTGACATTTCTTCTGTTATGTCTTCTACCAAGGAGACGATCAATATTGTTTTCATAGGTAAATCAGGAGTTGGCAAGTCGACACTAATTAACACAATCGCCAACTGTCTCCAGTTCAAATCATTCTCAGGAATTCAATTGTGTAAATCGAAGTTGCGTGTACTTATATCATTCATGTTTTCACTAACAAATGATGTGGAACCACATTTCATTCAAATCGGTAAGAAGGATCCTAACGAAGATGATGATCACCATGGTCAATCCATAACTCAGCATTGCAAATCGCACATATTTGATCTCGAAAATGGACAACAGTTATGCATCATTGATACTCCTGGTTTTTGTGCTGCACATGATCAAACTCACGATGATATGACGACACAACATATATGCTCATACATCTCGAATCTAACGCATTTGAACGCTATCTGTGTTCTCATGGAACCGAACGACTCAGAACTCGCTGGCTATAGACAATGTTTAATGCCATTGCTCGATTTCATGGGATCCGGAGCTCAAAACAAATTAGTTTTTTGTTTCACCAAGTATCTTTCCAGTTTAATGCGCGATGATAAAAAAACTCATCCACTCCAAAATCTGCTAAAATTACTTCATTTTGAAAATACCTTACTGAAATCGGCGGGTATATTTTACTTCGACAGTACATTCTTTCTTCATTTGGTTACAATGCGTTGGCTTCATTATGATGAGAAAAAATGTGAAACAAGCTGGTCAATTTCAAAGAGTTCACTAGAACAACTTTTGCAGTATGTGAGTCAAATGAATTACCCACTTCCCTTACATAAAAGACGACAAGAAAAAGAAAATGTTTGTTTCGAAATCCTGAAGATGATTCGTCCAATAATGGAAGCAATACGAAATATTCTTCGAAATAAGATTTTATACAAATTGGACTCCCCAGATAAATTTATCGAACTACTTCCTACACCTATACAACAGTCGTCCGTTATCTGCTATTCGTGCCATGGTCCGATTGTGCAATACGGCAAAATTTATATCATCCATGATTCTTTGCATGAATACCGAAACTTATGTGAACAATGTTCATGTGATTCAGACCAACACGTTTCGGTCGACTATAAGCTTGAATACGTGTTAGTCGATGCGGTGAATTATCAACCGAAGGATTTGGATACTTGGTATAAATACATTGTTTCTGCAAGCGTACACTTCGCTCATTTCCTCATACATGTTGCTTATCATTCCAGCTATGATCCATTCTTGATCAGCTTTGATCAAATGATCAATGAGGAGAGTAACATTTGTAAGAGTATTGAAAATCATGAGTTGAATTCGATATTACGAGAGAAACTTCTAAAACTGAAAACTAAATACAACGATGGTATAAGAGACATGCGAAAGAAACGTATTCATAACGATTTGATGATTATTAATGATTACATGGAAGGTGTCAAACATATTCCCATGATACAAATACAAATGAATGCTGCCATACGAACGAGAGAAAATTCTGTTTAGCCCAGCCGATAACGAAGACTACTAGTCAATTTTCTTATTCAGTATGGAGCTGATTTTTTACGCTTAACATTGTAAATTCATTTTTCCGCATCGTGTCCCTCATATAGATTTTGACATATTATTCTAATAGACAAAGCACAAGGACTAGAGCATAATGTCAAACAAGTTTCTCATATGATTACTTAAAACGATAAACTCGGATGTCGATTAATGAGCATGGGCAACAGAGGTTTAACCAAGCAACATTTTTCAGACTTTTTTGCTTTGTTAAAGTCAATTTCATGACCATACTGAAGTATAATTAATTATTAATATTCATAGAAAGTCTAGCAAGGGTCGAGTCTCATTTACCACAAATGTGGTACCCTGAATCAATCCATAAATATAATCCACATTTGAGAATAATCAAACAATAGAGACAAATCTGTTGACCAAGTAGAGATTTTAATTTAGAAATTTTAGAAACATGACGTATAGAATAATTCTATATAATTTTACGTCTCCTGTTACACTGTGTTAAGAAAAATAAAAGCTTTTATGTTATGCGCGTTGGAAGTGTTTGGTGGAGATACTATAAATTTTCAATTCCACTATTACATGGCACAGTAACGTGGGCAAACAAGTCAAAATGTAGTAGTCGAAACTTGTTACTTACCAATAGTTGTACACTGTAAGAAAATCTAGGATAAATTAAGAGAACCCGTTTCAACATGAATAATAGAAATCATTATTGTGAAATTATATAACAAGTCTGGCAATCAGAATATCTTGTGGATTATCAAAAGAAAAGCTTTGCAGTTGAAAAACCAGTTATTTTTGAATATTAGAGTCCAAAGTTCACATACATTTCTAGTAGATGTCGTACTATTTTTTTTCTCTTTCCGGATTTTGACGACTCATCTTTTTACTTTCATCAGGACGCCTACTATTCGATTGAACATACATGAAACAGTAGGTATATTGAATTGTGTAATTATAGTTTCAGATCCTAACTTACAATGTAAAATCTGGTGACCAGAATTAATGAAAATAGAAGAACATTACTGATCGTCTGCGCCGATTAGTAATACAAATCAACAAAGATCATAGTTGAATTTGAACGAATAAACCCTGGTTTTTGAAAAACAGGACATGAAGATATTTTGCGTGGGTTGATTGGCAATAAGTAGAAAATTGTCTAGTTATTTTTACCTGCACCAGAGTTAATGTATTTCTCCATTAGGAAATAGTTTGTGAAACCGAGAATGTATTTTAACTTGCTGGGAAGAATGCTCTACAGTTAAATAAAATATTTTACTAACGATGTTTCAGATTTGAAATTTTGGTTGTGAGTTGTGGTTCTTCTTATTCCCACACCCACATCCTACATCCTCAGTTATACAGAAGTCAATATAAATTTTTTTCTACTTTCCAATTTTGCAAAAGAAGTAAGTGTCAATTAAATCTTTTTTTCATTTATTTTCAACGTGGTATCAAACAATTGAATTTTCATTTCTATTCGACCTCGAATTAGACAATTGATGTATTTTTCCATATAGAAGCAAAACCATGTCTTTCAAATCGGTTGGATACATTTTTAAAAAAATAGAAAATTTTCTGTTTGAGATATCGTTTTTTTCTAAAACGAACAAATAATAAAATAGACAGTTCTTCTTAAGAATATCACTTTCTATCAATATTAATTATAATGAAGTATAATGGATGAGATGAATGATTGTATTAGTAGATGACAGTACACAAAAGATGTGTGGGTATTGCCGTCTCATAAGAATTTTCTTCATAACTATAAATAAATTAGTTGATGTTGAAGAGTGTGGGAATGAGTATCGGGAGGGGAATGTGGTGTGTGGGTTGGATCCTCTCTTTAATAATACTGACACTCACACCCACCCGTTTCTTGATAAGAACACTCATAAAATGCCAAGAATAATGCTTTCACATGCTATTGAACATCTTTCAGCCAAAGAAAAACTATTTTATCGCAGCAGAAAATGAAGTTTTTTCTTCCTGCTCTTTCAAAATAGCTTTCCAATATCAAGGTTTTACTGAACACATTGTTTTCGTTCGATATAGTTCATTCATTAATATTGAATAATATTATTTAATATATAAGAGAATCATATCAGTGATTTCATACTCCACTAAATTTAATGACTCGAACCAAACAAGTTGATTGATCGAGAGATAAATTCACAAAGAATCTGTCTCTTCATCTTTAACAAACTTAAGGACAACTTAAGAAAAACATTTAACTTAATGATGAGGATTAATGAATTGCATTGGCGTCCGAAACCCGAATCGAAATCCAAATATTATTTTTTCTAGAGTTGACGTCGGCAGTGGAATCATTAAAAAATATTATTCGGTGTCAGAGTTGGTGCCAAAGCTTTATAAGTACAAAAATCAAGCATTTAAAATGAAATCAGCTTGTTTGAATACGTAATTGATAAAAAGAATAAAATTTATAATCTAATTGTTACTAATGAC